AACAGGGTGAGAGAGAGTCGGCCTGCGCCCAAGGCACTGGCTGTGTCGCGCATCGCATCGGATCGGAAAGAGGGGGTTAATTCAAAGCGTTAGTGTTTGTTTGAAGTAATATTTAGAATCATTTAGATAGTTATTCGCCAATTGCATGATGGGAATTACTGCGCCATTTCACCACATCCGCACACCTGTTCACCGCATTGATTTTCAGAGGGGCGCCCTTTGTCTTTGAGGTGACGCATTGACAAAGTCCTTCAAAGATACGTCGATGCCTATATAAACATAGACGTCTCAAACATCGATCAATACGGTCGCGGCGCATCCAACGTTTTACCTGAGTTTGCTCTCTAACTAATCACGAAAATCTTATTCACCCATTTACGCCACAATATCGTCATCGCTTCTTCTTCCGCTTTTTGCTACCGGTGGATGCGTGAGGTTGGGCTCGGTTCTTCGCTTCCGCGAGGGGAACCGCCGACGTCCCTGTCCCGCTGGACTCGACCGGCCCACGCGGAAGATTCAAGTTGGTCAACTCCTTTCGCAATACCTGCATAAAATTTAGCTTGAAATAATTCACCGACTTGGCGGTGCTCAAAATTGCGGTATGCTTTTGGCGCTGACTGTTTCGGATACGAACAATGCACTTGGTAGCCGCGATATCCCTTCCGTTCGACGCTCGCCCCGTTTCCGGCGAATCGAGGGGGTTATCCGCCGGGAGGGAATCTGCGGCGTCCACCTCCGCGGCCGGTTCCGCCAAGTGGTAAAACAACCCGGCGCCTGACAGGGCGCGCTCCATCTGCGACTTGAAGAGCTCCGCTTGCCGATCCGCCTCTTCCATGTTCTCGCCCACACCCGGGTCCGTGGGATTACCGACGCCGGCCCAACCGCCCCGCCCCCCTCCCCTGGCGCTTGCGGGGTGAAAGCGAAACCGAATGGCGTTCTCGCGCGTGATCAAATCCTCCCAGGCCTCGCGGGTAAAGGCGCTTTGATAGGCCTCGTCCGGCGCCTTGGCGATGGGGGCCGGGGTCCTACCGCAGTCCCGCCGCTCCCCCTCGCGCCCCCCGCAGTGCTGCTCGACCAACAACCGCAGGTAGGCCCCCGGGGGCTGGCGTTGGGCCGCGTCGAGCATGGCGATGGCCGCCGTGTACTGCTCCGCGAGGTACTCGCGCGCGTCCTCTGGGAGCTCCG